TGGCTTTTTTCCCTTCCCCCGTTTTTTTTTTTTTTTTTTTTTACATTCTTAAAAAAAATATATATATATATATATATAAATTTGTTTTCTGTGTGTGAGTGTTTTGCTTGTATGTGTGTAAATGCACATGTGTGCAGTGCCTGTGGTGGGCAGAAGAGGGTGTCAGATCACCTGCAACTGGAGTTACGGACAGTTGTTACCACCACGTGGGTGCTGGGAACCAAACCCAGATCCTCTGCAAGAGGAGCCAGTGCTCTTAACTGCTGAGCCATCTCTCCAGCCCCAGTGCATTCTTTAGCTGTCTGTTCAGTTTATGTGTCTAACATCTGTACTTCCTTGATCAATTTTGTTGCTTTGTTTTTCTCTATTTTTAAATTTCATGTAGTCAAGCCACCGCATACTAGAAACAATCGTTTGATCATCTGAAGAGCTAACAAGCTGGGTCTCTTGTCCTTTAGCCTTTTTCAGCTGCGCCTCTTCTCCTTGGTGGTCTTCTTAAGCAACAGACTCTTCCACAAGACAGTCTATCTGCAGTCAGCCCTGAGCAGCTCAACCTCTGCAGAGAAGTTCCCTTCACCGCATCCGTCTCCTGCCAAACTGAGGGCTGCTACAGGCCACTGAGTTCTTTGCTGTCCAAAGGGGATGGGTGGGATTAGCTGGAGGATGTGGCAGCTCTTTTCTCTGTTCTCCCCTGCCAGGGAAAGCAGGACCCACTGCCAAGGGCCCTCTGATACTTCCTTCACATTGAGGAATTGGAATTTTTGTCTCTGGTGCACGTAGTAAGGCAGAATCTTCCTAACACCAGTATGTGACTTTTTACCACCACCACCATTGGTCTGAAAGGACCGCAGGTTTTCCAGCTGTTTTCTAGCATTTGCCAGCTCCTGTGCCTGGACTGATTTGAGTACTTTTTTTCCTTCCCTGTGCCATTTACCCTTCTACTTCTCCTTCCTGCCTTCCAGCACCCCTGGATGAATGGGTTTTGTAATTCTAACTGTTGTATTTTGTGAATTTGTTGTTTTTCTGTGAAGCACATACATTGAATGTGGGAGGTAAAGGAGCAACCCAATTGCTCTGGTTCACTCCCTTTATAGCCATCACTGTCTTGTTTTCTTGTAACTCAGGTTAGGTTTTGGTCTCTCTTGCTCTGCTGCAAAAAAGGAGGGGGGAAAAAAAAACAAAACAGAAGAGATGGGACAGGATAGACCTCACAGCCAGACTGGCTGGGTTTTGAAGAGTAATTTTCTTCTTTCCCCTTGAAGGGGAAAAAGCTTTTTTTCACTGGTACATTTAAAGTTCTCCAACTATGGAGAGGTACCAATTCTGGACAAGTGCCACTGCAATACAGAATGCTCAAGAGAATCTGAACTTTCCAACTGTGGAAGATGAGAATTCACTGTTGGTCCCTGCTGGGTCTGATTGGTATTTCAAAGGAATATTGGGTGCTGCAAATAGGAACTGAAGGGTAAACTTATTAAACCTGTGAGTGATGATGTTTTCCAGGCATTTTAAGAGACTAAATGTGGGGTGGGAGGACAAATGTCAAAACTTGTACAATTTTGAAATATCACAATTAAACATGAGCTGGTTTCCCATAAAGTGTGTAATGGTTCAATTTCAAATCATGACCTTGAGATACATATATTCATAGATGGTAAGACTTAAAAATGTTTATTAATTTATTTGTGTTTTTCATGTGTATGAATGTTTTGCCTGCATGTATTTAAGTGCACCTGTGTAGTGCAGTGCCCAAGAGTATCAGAAGAGGGCATCAGATTCCTGGAGTTATGTATGGTTGTTAGCTGCCCTGTGGGTGCTGGGAACTGAACCTATAAGAGCAGGCAATGCTCTTAATCTCTGAGTCATCTCTTAAGCCCCAGATCATAAGACTTTGTCTTGGATAATCTGTTTATAGTTTTTAGCGATCAGTCTTGAAAGACATTCTCTGAATGAACTTGGGTTATAGTGTTAGAGTTGTATTTACATTTATAAAAGACTTTGGGAATGTTACTGTTTTTAAAGCAAGTATTTACATTTCTACTATATTTATGAAGAAAGCATCTAGATTGCAGTATATTGAAATAACATTCATTAGTCCAGTGAAGAGACTAGACATTTGGTTTACAGAAACCTTTACTTTAGCCACATGGCAATTATAATCCAAGTTTGAAGTGCTTATGCAACTGATGGAATAGTAGACATCTTGGAAGTGACCATGGTTTTCAAATTGTGCACAAAAATTTTAAGTTGTGGTTTAAGATTTACTTCTAACATACCTGTGACACCTGGTCCTTTACTGATAGTATTGCAAAGAACCACTTCAGGTTGGTAGAGTGGTTTGAAGAAGACCTCACAATTCCTCTTTGAACTTTTAAGAATGATTGTTTTATTTAAGCTTATTGTTGTATTTTATTGTTGCTTTCAGACATGATCTTACTGTGTAGCCCAGGCTGGCCTCAAACTTGTTTCAGTCCTGCCTCAGCTTCCCAAGCATTAGGATTATACGTGTGAACCACCACACTCAACTAAGCTTAGTTTTTTAAAAAGTTCCTGAAAGAAGCCTAATTAAGCAGCCACATTTTGCCTCCTCAGTGCTAGGGGCTGGACCCAGGGGTCTTAACCTGCCAGACAAGTGCATTACAACTAAGCTACACTCCTATCCCTTTTATGTTAAGACAAGGTCTCCCTAAGTTACCCAGGCTGGCCTTCAAGTCACACTCTTACTGCCTTGGTCTCCCAAGTAGTTAGGATTATAAAATGTGCTACCCTACTAGCTAAGCAGCTACATCTTAGCTGCCTGAAATTTGTATTTGTGCCAACTTAGACTATTAGAAGACTGGACAGATGAAAAAAATCTTTTTTTACAGTCAAAATCTTTTAGAAAAAGATTTTTGAAATTGTCTCTCTGTGGGTATGTGCACAAGTGCAGGTTCCTGTGGATGTTAGGAGAGGACGTGGCTCCCCTGGGACTGGAATTACAGGTTGTGAACTACCTGGCATGTGTAGGAATGGAACTCGGGACTCTGGAAGAGGAGTTCTTAATCAGTGAGCCACCTTTCCACCCCCAAATACCTGATTTTATCCCTAGCACTAGCCTGCCAATAGAAGCTGCTTGAAGTTTAAGTCATTGAAATTAAGGAATTTGGGCCAGTTAAGATGGCGCAGTAGGCAGAAGTGCTGTGTAAGCCTGACAATCTGAGTTTGACTCCTAGAATCCACTGTGGAAGATAATTGACTCTCAAAGGTTGTCCTCTGACTTCCACAGTGTGCCATGGGGCCTGCACTCATCATGTAAACACTTGAGAGAGGCAGAGAAGGAAAGAATTACTCAAATTGGAGATAGAGTTAAAGGTAGAATGCTTACAGAGCATGGCTAAGTCTTGAATATAACAAGAACCCGGTGTGTGTGTGTGTTTTGTGTGTACATATAATGACAGGGATATAATTTTAACATTATGTAGACCAGGCTGGCCTTGAACTCATAGAGATCTGCCTGCCTCTGCTTCCCTACTTTTTGAGACAGGATCTCATTAAGTGCTCAGAGTGGCTTTGTGGCTTTGAACTAGCTGGGATTACAGGCCTGCCAACAGGCCCAGCTCAGTATTTTAAGAAATTAAAAAAAAATTTTGTGTAGCTGAGATTTTATTGAGTGCTGGGGTTACAGGTGTGAGTTTTACATTTATTCATATATATATTATTTTTATTTTATGTGTATGAGTGTATTACCTGCATGTATGTAAGTGCACCCATAGTGTACAATGCCAGCGGATGTTAGAAGAGGGTGCAGATTCCCCCTAGAACTAAAGTTGTGAACGATTGTTAAGCCGCCGGTGCTGGGAATCAACCCGGGTCCTCTGCTAGAGCAGACAGTGCTCTTAACAGCTGAGCCATCTCTCCAGTCCCAATGTTTACTCTTGCTGAAGTAAAATTACATGGGACATTTACTATAGTAACAAAATAAGCAATTGAGTCCTAAGGTCCCAGGGTAAAACTGGTCATATGAATTTTGAGGAAATACATGATTGGGAAGCACCACTTTAAATAATGCACTTTCAGTAAATTTCAAAGGTATTCTCCATGGGATGGTAAAAAGGGAAGTCATTGGCATCTAATGTGCACACGTCCAGATGCTTCAGTCTTTAGCATTTGCTCAGAGGCATGTAAGTCGCAAAAGCGCAGGAAGACAACCCGGTATATGTTAAAGTCTAAAAGATGACGCGATTGGCTACTGAAACTGCCCCCCTCCCTGCCCACAGCACCGTTCTTGAGGGGTCGGGGAGAGAAAGTGAGGCAGGAAAGCAACTCGCTCGCAGGGATCTAGCGATGGGGCAGTGACAAACAGGGCTCGGCGGCCTTCTGACTCCCCAGAGGCAGATCTTTGGTCCGGTGCTGTCTTAAGTCTGGCACGGGCGGCTGTTCCAGCCCTACCCTGACAGCCCTTTTAGGCCTTGGCATTGTCGAAGTTACTGGCACATAATCAAAACCATTTCTGGAGTGGATTAGAGAAGACAAGTCGTATACACGATGGATCCATGTGGACCACGACGCCGGAGTTTTCAGAAACGGAAGAGCACTGTTCCCTCTTTCCTTCAACCGCTGACTGGGTAACGGTCCATTTCTACCTTAATCGGAGGCAAACGGCTTCACAGCCCAACTTTTTTGGGATGTGGGGCGACAGCCGCTTTCTCACCGTATTTCCGCTTCTGGTCACGAGGGTGGGAAACACCGGCCGCTCCTTCCCACTGCGACTCCTTCCCGGTCCACAGACCGACACGTCACTCCTCGGCCCTCAACCAAACTGCGCAGAACCGGTTCTTTCCGCGCTCTTCGCTCCCCACGCCGGCCTATCACAGATCGGAGGGAGCGCGTAGTCCCGCCTCCTGGCTGCTAAGTGATAGCTGAAGGTGACCAATTAAAAAGTGGGACTCCAGCTTGGTCCACGCCTGCGGAAGTGATAGACAGGGTCAGAATCCTATCGCTTCCCGAAGATGGTCTATTGGCCGAGAGCCAGTCAATGAGAAGCGGCCAGGGAGGCGTGCCCCGGCTGCAGTCAGGGTTGGGTGCACCCTTGGGCGGATGGCCCGGGAAGCAGAGTGGGTTCTCTGGGAGCGTCCGTCAGGTGAGAAGGCCGCGGCGCAGCGCTGGAAAATTAGCGCAGGTGCAGCCCGAGGTGGTGGCGGGCCTCAACGAAGTGCAGGCTTCAGGCCTGTGGAAAGGCCATGGGGAGCAGAGCCTGCTGGTGGCCTTCTGGAAGAGGGGGCGTGGGGTGTGGTGTGGGGCCCCCGCGGACTGTGGGTGGGACGGCTTGATGAAGGGGCCAGGGAGGCCCGTGGGCTGGTGGGAAAGACTATCCCGGAACTAGCTGGGAGGGAGACGCTGAGGGGGTGGGGTGGGGGGTCTGGGGGCTGCTCGGTGAGGGTGCCAGGAGAGGGGCCTGGGAGCTGCAGGACAGGGCCGGAGGGACGAGCGCGAGGCCAGGGAAGCCCTGGGTGAGGACGTGGACATGCGTGTGGGGAAGCCAGGCTGGGAGGATGCAGCCCTGGCCACTAGTCAGGGTGGGTGAGGATGCCGCGGCTTTCAGGATGCTGAGCGAGAAATGTCTTTCTCTCACGTGCTCCATCGCAGTGTGGAAACCTGAGAGCACAGGTGAAAAGTCCCTGTGCTCGGCCTTAAATCACCGTCTGCCTTTACTCGTTTTTTCAAGTCCAGCTTCTAGCCCTCTGGTTTCCTCCGCTTACTCTTCAGGTGTGTGGATCGTGTCTACTCTGGTGTTAAGTTCGTTTCTGTTTCATCCATTTCCAGAAAACAAGCTATAGACTTGAGAGATGGGAATGGAGTGTTCACTTCCCGGAGTTTGCACCACAACCCTTCCCTTAGGAATTATAATTAAACACGTATAGGTAAAACTGCTCTTCTGGGACAATTAATTATGTAGTCCCTATCTGATTCCTTTGTGATTTTTCCATCTAGTCCAGTGTTACCTTTCTCTTTTTTAAACTGGGAAAGATCTGTAATAATGTAGGTTCCTTTTCCTACATAGTTTAGAACTGTGCTCCATAATCTATTGTTACATTCTTTATCTCCTAGTCCTTGACACACTTCTTGTCCATAAGTGATTGCAATTCTGAACACTCTACAGCCTTTCCTCAACATTTTAATTTAGTTTAGTTCCCCCACCCCCATTTTTTCCCTACAGTAGGAAAAGTTTATCTTTTCCCTCCAGGGTATCTGGTGCTATGAGATGTCCCTTTAAGCTACCAGTTATTTATTTAAATCAGCAAGGTTAGTTACAGAGATGCCTTGAAACATGATTGGAATGGGGAATAGACCTGAGTAGTAGTTACAGTGTGAATTATGAAATTGAAAATACAGTGGTCTGAGTATGTTTATCTCCTCTGGAGTTCATGATTACACTTGAATTAGTGATCAGTTTGCTCTTTAGTTAGCCATGCAACCACACTTGGATTTGGAGTGGAAAGATGCCTGTAGCAATCAACTGAGCCATAAAATAGGGGCGAGAAATTGTTCCAGTTCATGTTCCAGTCATGATTTCTAGTTTTCCTCTTTCACTTCTGTACTTAACGTTCATTCCCTGTTTTTTTTTAAAGACTTAGTTTATGTGTGTGACTGTTTTGTTTGCATGTATATATGTGTAGTACACGCTTGCAGTGCCTGCAGAGGCCAGAAGAGGCTGTCTGATTCCTTGGAACTGGAATTATAGACAGTTATGAGCTGTCATGTAGGTCCTGGAAACCAAACCCTAGTCCTCTGCAAGAGCAGCAAGTGCTGCTGGAGACCTGGAACTTATTACTGGACCCAAAATCAGTGATCCTCCTTTTCCAGCCTCACCAAGTAATCACAAACCATCATACCCTGTTTTTGTTTTTGTTTTTTAAATTATTATTTCATGTGTATGAGTGTATTGCCTGTATATGTGTAAGTGTACTCATGTCATGCAATGCCCATGGAGGTCAGAAGAAGGCCACACAAGCCACAGATCCCCTGGAGCTGAACTTATGGACAGTCATTAGCTACCATGTGGGTGCTGAGAACCGAACCCAGGTCCCCTGCAAGAGTGGTCAGTGCTCTTAACTGCTGAACCATCTCTCTAGCCCCCATACCCTGCTTTAAAAATAAAAAATGCATTGTCCTGAATTCCTTCTTTCCATTTATTTTTTTAAAATTATTTTTGTTTTGCTTCCCATCTATTTATTTTGGCATCCTTCCCTCCATCCCCCTTTTCTACTTTTGTTCCTTCTTGATCCTTGTGTCGTGCTTGGCCAATTATGCTTATGGTAGCAGTGAGGAAATAGGAAACAGAATTGTGAGTAGAATATTTATTAATTCATTTTTGTAGTACTGAAGATTGAAACCCAGGACCTTTTGCATTGCTAAGCAAGTGCTCTTCTGTTAAACGCCATGGCCAGCCCTCTACAAAGGTTTTCATTTTGAGACAGGCTCTTGCTGAATTGGGAGTCAGGCCTGGAGCCTTTGATCCATCTGCCTTCTCCTTTGTAGCTAGAATCAGACATGTTGAATGGTATGTTTTGATTACTCCTTTTTTAACCCTTTTTTCCTCCCCTTTGATACAGGGTTTCATTAGGTTTCCCTGGCTGGTCTGGAACTTGCTTTGCAGACCAGGCTGAGCTTGAAGTTATAGAAAGAGATCTGCCTGCCTCTGTCTCCAAATTGCTGCTGGGATTAAAGTTGTATACCACCATACCAGGTTGACCCTACCTTTTTTTTTTTTTTTTCTTTTGGTCTTTTTGAGACAGGGTCTCCCTATAGGCCCAGCTGTCCTGGAACTCACTATGTAGACCAGGCTGGCCTTGAACTCGCAGACCTCCGCCTGCCTCTGCCTCCCGAGTGCTGGGATTAAAGGCATGCGCCACCACACCCGGCCCAACCCTACCTTTTTAGTCTTGGCACATTAATTGTTTGCTTCCTTGCCAGTACATCATACTTTAGGCAAAGCTAGGATGTTGGTATTATCCCTGATCCCTCTGTATTTTCCTAGATCATTTATACTTTATGGTTCTTTCCCACCATCAAAGATTAAAGTTAAATTGAAGATATTCAATATCCCATGATCTTTTTCCATTTTAGCTATTTGAATATCATCAATTATCACCCCTTTGATGTCAAGATGACTAAACTTGGATTTTTGCGATTGTCCTATGAGAAGCAGGACACACTTCTGAAGCTTCTCATCCTGTCAATGGCTGCTGTGTTATGTGAGTTTGCATGCGGGTCTCTCCTTGGGTTGGAAAAAAGAAATATATTTTTTTTAATATTTTTTGTTTTATGTGTATACATGTATTGCCTGTATGTAGGTAAGTGCACCTGTGTCATGCAATGCCCATGGAGAACAGAAGAGACTGTCGGATCCCCTGGAACTGGAGTTAAGTTATGGACATTTGTTAGCTGCCATGTGGGTGCTGGGATTCGAACCCAGGTCTTCTGCAAGAACAGTCAGTGTTCTTAACTGCTGAGCCATCTCTCCAGCCTTGGAAAAAAGAAAATCTTAAAGAGAAAAAAAATGGCTTTCTTAAAATGGTTTCTTTTATCATATTGCTCTTGTTCTTTTTCCATTCCTCATTTCATAAAGACAAAATAACTCAAGAAATATCAAACTCAGGACTGTAGATTATCTAGGAAAAAATACAAAGTATGATGTATTTTACATTCTTGGGACTGAAAGAAAATGGGAGCTATTGGATACTTAAGTTTATAAAAGATTTGTCTTCAACTCTGGTGCTTGTGGTGATTAATATTGCCAACTTGACAGAATTACCTAGGAGACAAGCCTCTGGGTGAGCCAGTGAGGGATTATCTAGATAGATTAGCCTCTGGGCATGCTTGTCGGGGGTTATCTTGATTAGGTTCATTGAGGTAGGAAGGCTTACTACCTTAAGGCACCATTATATGGGCTGGTGTCCTGGACCAAAAAATAATAATATGAGCTGAGTACTAGCATTCATGACGTCTTCCTGATTGAACATAGTGTGATCTACTACCTTATGCTTTTGCCTCCTTCCCTTTCCTGCCCACAGTTCCCTCACCCTTGAACTGTAAGCCAAAATAAACCTTTTCTGCCTTATGTTGCTTTTGACAGGTATTTTATCACAGCGACAGAAAAAGTAGCTAGGTTAAGACTGAGTCTTGCTGTATAACCCAGACTGGCCTCAAACTCCTCCCTTAGCCTTCCAAGTACTAGGGTCATAGGCATGTACTATCTATCATACCTGGTTTGCTTTAGTATTTTTGAGAGTCTCTTGAGAATTTACTGTGTTTTTAAGATTTCCTAACCCTTTATGAGTTCTGCCAGATAATTCTGTCTGCTCCATAATGCTATTGTTTATCTTCTGTTGTTCTTTAATAGCATGCCACCATTAAAATATTCATTGTCTGGATTTTTGCAGCTTTTTCAACTCGTCTCTTTGCTGTCCTGAGATTCGAAAGTGTTATCCATGAGTTTGATCCGTGAGTAACTTTGCTTGCTTTGATATTTCCTTATTTATTTTTTTGTAGTTTTGTTTTGGTATTTTTGTTTTGGTCTCTTGATAGTCTGAAGGCATTGAAGTTCCTGGTTTCATATTTAAATTTTGAATGAGCTCTCAGTGATGGGCATATATTTTCAGTACAGTTAAGTGAAAAATCCTTCAAAATTTCCAAAGGAGATAATCATTTGGAACTGACCAAGTGAGTCTTGTGAAATCAAAAAATGTGGTAGATTTTGTGGTTATGGCTTTCTACTTGAGATCTGGCTGGGCTAAGAGAAATCTGGTTTCTTGGTTTGGCCAGGAGTAATGATGTAGATTAAGGGAAGGGACCTTGAAAAGACTTTAAAGAGAATCTCAAGTCATGAACTTGAGATCCAAGATTACTTTATTTATGTAGTAGAAATTGGGCTTCTTTTTAAATTCTAAGGCATTAAAAGTATTAAAGCAACAAGAGCTGGATATTGTGGCATATTCCTGCAGTCCTAGCAAGCTTAGGTAGAAGAAGTAGGATAACATGTTCAAGGCCATCCTGGGTTATATAGTGAGGTATTGTCTCAAAAACACTGAAAAAACAAATTAAAAAAATGAGCTAGAGAGATGATTTAATGGTTGAGAGAACATACTGTTCTTTCAGGAGACTCAAGTTCTGTTCTTAGCACCCATGTCTGGTGGCTCATAGTCACTTGTAACTCCAGCTTTAAGGGATCTGAGACTCTGACTTTTGAGTGTACTTGCACTCACACATACATACACATACATAATTAAAAATAACAGAAATAAATCTTAGAACAAAGCTCCTAAACCCCATATTAAAACAATCTATGATTTTAATTAGGGCTTTTGTTTATCAGATTTAAAGAGTTGCCAGGCCTGGTGGTACACACCTTCAATCCCAGCACCCTAAGGCAGAGACAGGCAGAAGCAGGTAGAGGGATCTCTGAGAGACCCAGCCTGGTCTGTATAGCGAGTTTCAGGCCATCTGGGGCTACAGGGAGACCTTGTCTCAAAATAATAAAAAAAAATTAAGATGAAGCCCTCAGCCTTCAGTAGTATTAATAACTGACATTAGCTGGGCATGGTTGTACATGCTTATAATCTCAGCACTCTGGAAACTAAGAGGGAGGAGGATTGCAGTGGATTGGAGGCTAGCTTTGGCTACATGCATTTACTAGGCCATTTAAGGTTATGTACAAAGACCCTCTCTTAAACCAAAAAATGGGCCAGTAATATGGTTTATTGGGTAAGGGTACTTGCTGCTAAGCCCGACAACCTGAGCTTGATCCTCAGAACCCACGTGATAGAAGAAAACTGACTCCTGCAAGTTGTCCTCTGACCTCCACATATGCTGTCGCATGCACTCCGCCTCTTGACAAATACCTAAATAAGAACACAAAAATGCTAATATTTACTAAGCATGTTCTTTTCTTCCTACTTACTGTTTCACAGATTATCTCTGAATCCTTAAAACAGCCCAGTGACATAGGTATTCTTTCTTTCTTTCTTTTTTTTTTTTTTTGGTTTTTTTGAGACAGGGTCTCCCTAGCCCCAGCTGCCTGGAACTCACTGTGTAGACCAAGCTGGCCTTGAACTCATAGAGATCTGCCTGCCTCTGCCTTACTTCTTTTTTTTTTTCGCAGATGAGAAGGTGGGCTGGGAGAGGTTGTCATTTATTAAGTGAAGGAGCTAAGATTTGAATGTAGGTTTGTTTGACTCCACAGACTGGCATTACTATTATGTTGTCTAAAATTGAGGCTTATGAAAAATTTGGGAACCACAATCATAGGTTCTTGAGTTATTTACATCTTGTTTCTTTTTCTGTTTTAGACAGGGTCTCACTATGTAGCCCTGGCTGTCATGGAATTTGCTATGTAGACCAGGCTAACCTCCAACTTACAGAGATCCACCTGTCTCTGCCTCTCTTCCCTTGCCCCTGCCTCTGCCTCATGGTAGGATTAAAGGCATCATCTTGAAAGTAATATAGTACTTTTTGGGAACATTGATTGAGAAGACCTAGTTTGTAGATACAATTATTTTGTTTGGGGTAGGAATTTTAAAGAATCTGGAGGCAGGGACTGGAAAGATGACTCAGTGGTTAAGAATACTGGCTGTTCTTGCAGAAGATCTATGTTCAAATCCCAGCACCCACATGGCAGCTAACAACTGTCTGTAACTCCTGTTCCGGGGGATCCTATGGCCTCTTCTCTCCTCTGAGGACATTGCATGTATAGGTCACTTAACATACATGCAGGCAATACACACATACACACATAAATGATAAAAATATTTAAAAAAAAGAATTTAGAGACATTACAGAAGAAAACACTTAGCACCTCCCCTCCTCTCCCCTTCCTTTGAGACAGGGTTTCATGTAGTTCAGGCTAGCCTCCAGCTTCTTTTGTAGCTGAGGATGACCTTGAACTCCTGACTCCCCTGCCTCTGTCTGCCTCTGTCTCCCAAGCACTAGAATTATAGGTATGTTCCACCATGCCTGCTTTCCTCTTGTTTCTTTATTTTTTGTTTTATTTTTTTGTTTTATGTGTGTGTTTTGCCTGCATGTATGTAAGTGTACCACTTGTGAGCAATGATTGTGAAGGCCAGAAGAGGGCATCAGATCCCCTGTAACTGGAGCTACAGAGGGTTATTAGCCACCATGTGGGTGCTGGGAACTAAACCCAGGTCCTCTGCAAGAGTAGCCAGTGCTCTTAGGTGCTGAGCCATCTCTCCGGTCCCCTCTTTTGTTTCTTGATCAGACAGACTGTTAGAGCTTCTTTCTTAGACCCTCCAGGTGGGCAACTATTGAAGTGAGCTGATCAAGGAAAGCAAGGGTGTCTGTAATAACAACTAGAAGACACTGTACAAACAAAAGATTCAACTATTCCTTTTGCTGAGGAGGAAACATACCCAGAGTATAACCCTAGTCTAGACCTAGTTCCACTAATTTGCATGTCCTCTGTCTCAATCTGCCTTCTACAGGTAGGTAATGGGCATGATTCTGACACTTGATGATTGCCTTCCACCCTCTTCCCTTCTGTCTCTCTGAATGTTACCAAAATAACATTTATCTGTGAGGAACAGAAGGATAGAGAGTTCTGCCATCTGCTGCTTCTCTTTACTTCAGCTGCTAAAACTTGATTGACCAAAGAGAATATTGGTTTAGGGAGATGAGCAGGGAGCCACGAATACCTGAAGTAATTAAGTATCCCTACTTTGAGACCCCATTTGTTAAATTTTTTGTTCTCTTTCCCCCATTACTTTTTTGAATTTAAGGGAAGAGATTACATAGTTTGGATCTAAAAAACTTCCCATGCATAGCTTTTAGCATTTCATATCAGATATTTTTATGTAATGTATAATTATATGCTACAGTGTAGGTGGCATTCTGGCATATTTGGAATACCATGAGTGGACCTTGTTAGAAGTTTAAGCACTCATTAGGAAGTTTTTGTTAGGATGTGGGTTAAAGTTTTTCCATTTTGTACATGGTGTTATACCAACATCTTTATGTTCATCGCAGTAATCCATGTGTTCTTGTGTGTGGTAGAGACAGTTTTAAAAAACTGTATTCTTGTCACTTGAAAATGAGCAAAATTACTGGTGTCCACATCTCAGAGTTCTTGTCTGCTGGGTGATTGAATTCTTTGACTGGTCCTGTTTACCACATACTAGCCTGCTGAAGTATTCTGTTTGAGTGCTTTGCATGGTCATTAGACTTTAAGTACATTTCCTACTAAGAAAACTGTTTTAGTTGAGACAGATGTCACAAAGAAATAAGGAGGGTGGATATAGTGATTTCTTTAAAGACAGGGTCTTATTATGTAGCCCCAGCTGGCCTGGAACTTCTATATACACCAGGGTAGCCTTGGGCTCAGAGAGATCTGCCTGCCTCTTCTTCCTGGTACTGGGATTAAATACATGTGCTACCATGTCCAGCTGAGTGTAGTAATTTTTATGACTTAATTTTTGGTATTAAACTTTTATTCAGGTAATGTTGTATTCCTCAGTGGCATAATCTGAAAAGCAAAATTCATTGAAAAGCAGAACATATTTGAATAGGAGGAAGTGGAGACACAGCTCTTCTCTTCTTGCTGTAGGTACTTTAATTATCGGACTACCCGGTTTCTGGCTGAGGAAGGGTTTTATAAATTTCACAACTGGTTTGATGATCGAGCCTGGTACCCTTTGGGACGAATCATTGGAGGAACAATTTACCCAGGTGAGGGGAAGAGTATTTTTTGTTGGTATCCTAAGATACAGTCTTTGTATGCTATAGGACAGTTTTATTTCTATTCGCTTTATTTCATGATATTTGTAATTCCATCCAGATTATAGTTCCAAAAGTGGATCTCTGGAGAAGATGTATGGGATAGTGGAAATAGTGGGGGAATATGTTATACATTCTGGACTTTTGTTTGAATTCAGAGCAATTTTGAGACTTACTATAATTGCTGTTAGTACTTGTAGTGGTTTGTCAAGACCTGTGTAGGTTGTTGAAACTTGGATTGACATTTTCTCTTAAGTTACCTATTTTTTTTTTTTTTGGTCTTTTTGAGACAGGGTTTCCCTGTAGCCCCAGCTGGCCTGGAACTTCCTGTGTAGACCAGGCTGACCTTGAACTCACAGAGATCCACCTGTCTCTGCCTCCCGAGTGCTAGGATCAAAGGTGTGTGCCACCATGTCCGGCTTTAAGTTACTTTTTTATAAGGACAACCTAATGGGATTTTTTTTTTTTTCCTATTATAGGCTTAATGATCACCTCTGCTGCAATCTACCATGTACTCCATTTTTTCCACATCACCATAGACATCCGGAATGTCTGTGTTTTCCTGGCCCCTCTGTTCTCCTCCTTCACTACCATCGTCACATACCACCTTACCAAAGAGCTCAAGGTAAAGGATTTGAGGTGACTGGAAGCTGGGAATGAATGTTGAACTTCTCTAGTAGATACTGGTGGCTGGAGGGACTGAGAGCCTAAGAAGGGCAGGAAGTGTTGTGTAACTATTCCTGGGGAGACTAGAACAAATGTCTTCTCACCCCAGATACAGAACCGGTGACAGCCCAAAGTAAGGATATCAGATACCATCAAAGTTCAACTTGGTGAGCCAGTCACTTTTATGGAGTTACTTACAAGAGTATGAGTGAGGGGGTTTCTTACAGGAGCAGAAGTAACCCAGAGCTGCATCATCAAAAGCCCATCCTCTCATGGGTCACAGCTCATGAAAGCTGGAACCCTGGAGTTTGCAGTACAACTTGTAGGCAGCTTGATAGGTTGGAGAGCTCTGTTCTTCCTGTCTGAGTGTATCCCTTAGGTGTCCTTACTGTTTATTTAAGCTTAGGTAGGGCCTAGTGACTCTGGTCAGTTTCAGAAATTTCTTGAATCTTTTGAGTTGTTTACTTCCTGTGTTTGATGAGCATACCTGAAGGATGGAATGCTTTACCTTCCTTTAGAACATCTTCATTCTCTTTAAAAAAAATATTTTATTATTTTTATTTTGTGTGTATGAGTATATTGCTTGCATGTATGTAGGTGCCCCTGTGTTGTACAGTGCCCTCAGAGGTCAGAAGAGGGCATCGGACCCCTGGGAATTGGAGTTATGGATGGTTGTTAGCCTCCATGTGGATACTGGGAACTGAACCTGGATCCTCAAAAAGCCATATAAACATACAGTAGTCAAAGGAATAAAGTTATTTCTTTGAGGTATAACTGGTGTTTCTGTGATATGTAGTCATTGTTAGAGGAAGGGATGATGATACTTGTAGCTAAACAGCCCATTCTGGTATAGCTTGGTTTTTGTTGGTTTTTTGTTTTGTTTTGTTTTATTTTGAGAAAGGATCTTATGCAGTTTTGACTGGCCTGAAACTCGATATGTAGACCAGGCTGGCCCCAAATTTACTGAGCCTGCTTCTGCTTCCTGAGTGCTAGGATTAAAGATATGCATCAGTACATCCAGCAAGCTCTGGTTTTGATAGCTCAGTAATTATTATTATAATTTTTTAGACAGGGTGCCAAATAGTTCAGGCTGGCCTTGAACTCATTATATAGCCGAGGATGACCTTGAATACCTGATCCTTCTGCTTGTACCACCTCCTGAATGCTGAGATTATATGTGTGAGCTACCATGATTGGTAGATGTGGTACTAGGGATCAAACCCAGGCCTTCATGTATGCTAGGCAAGCACTCTCCCAACACACCTACACCCCTAAGTACCCCCACTTGTTTTTCTTGAGGACAGAGTTTTGCTATGTCACCTAGGCTAGCCTTGAATTTGTAATCTTTAGCCTTAACCTGATGAGATTATAGGCATGTGCTGCTGTACCTGGCAGTTCATAGGGTATTTATGACCTCAGCATATATGTACTCAGTTTGGGATTTGGGGTCCTCATGGGGAATTGATTGTGAAGGTTTTAGCTTTGTTCTGCTGTGTGCATTTGTAGCATCTTACATCAACCTTGGAAATTGTTGGACATTTTCTGGGCTTCTTATAAACAGAATGGGTTAGTAGGTCTTTTGTTCTCTCAGAGGCTTATCAGTATTAATTCCTTCTTCTCCTCTTACAGGATGCAGGAGCTGGGCTTCTTGCTGCTGCCATGATTGCTGTAGTTCCTGGATATATTTCTCGATCTGTAGCTGGTTCCTATGATAATGAAGGTGAGACTTAGAATGTTGAAGAGGTCTATTCATTTTATTACCTAGTAAAACTTCATAGTGCAGAGTTTGAATTCATCTTTATTGCCTAGCAATAATAAAAATGGTATTTGGTGAGAAGTTAGAAATTGGCAGGAAGGCATCTTGGGCAAGTTTATACTGTCTGGTCATCCCTTCTGGAGAGTTAATTGGAAACTACTTCTTTTTTTTTTTTTTAAATTGTTTTTTCTTTATCTATTTATTTACTTTGTGTGTGTGTATACACACAAGTGAAGGTCAGAGGACAACTTGTAGGAGTCTATTCTCTTTCATTTCAACATATTTACTTTATTGGGGAAAATGTTAATTATTACAAAGATAAGTAGATTAAGTAGATTATTTTTTTCTGTAATTAGGAAATTGAAGAGATAGGTAATAAATTAGATAATGTTGTCCCATAATTTATTAAGGAAGATAAAAATGGACCTGTAAAAGTAACTCCAGTGGCAGGCTGTAACCTATCGGTCACAGACATGCAGATTTGTAAGTCTGCCCCTCTTCTAAATTCTTCAGAAAAGTGTAACCACTCCTTTTCTTCTATTTTTTTCTCAGCATGCCTTTCCCAACATTTTGGGTTTCTTTACTTTTTCTCTAGAGCTCCCTCCCTACCATGTGGCTGCTAGTTTGTTATGTGTCTGACCTCCAGGCTAGCTTGAAAGGCATGGTTTTTTTTTTTCCCTTTTCCCTTTTCTCCTTTCTCACTCTGTGTAACTGCTGAGGGCAATAGCTGGCCTGCCCTGAGGGTTTGTCTTAGTTTGTTTCTTCATTGCTGTGACAAAATACTCTGACCAATACCAACCTGGGGAGAAAAGGGTTTATTCAGCTTACATCTCCCAGGTCACAGTTCAT